GACCAGGAACTGTAGGGTCTCCATGTGAGGTATGGGACTCACAGTTGGCTCCCCAACACAAAAAGGGAATCCAAGTGAAATCCTTGGGGTATAGTCTTTCAGCCTGGACCAGTAAGTCTTGGACTCTGGAAGTGTGCTTATTTAAAATCTCCAAAACAATGGGGTTCAGTGAAGAGTCTGGAGCCTACTTCAACCTAAACACTGCCTCCAGGAATTCTGACAATTATATTACCTCTTGCACTCCAGCAATCCAGAGGTTGGAGCATTATGCTCAAGACAACACTCCAGATCACTTCAAAAGGCAGAGATTCTGAAAGAAAAATAATAATAAAAAACAGTAGAAATCCTCAAAGTGAAGAAATCAATAAATCAAATAAAAACTCAATAGAAGAATCAGCAAAAGACTAGACCACTTGGAAGACATAAAATCAGGCAATGAGACAAAATACATAATCTTGTAAATGAAGCTAACTATGCAGAGAAGATGTTAAGAAACCATGATCAGAACATCCAAAACATATGGGATGACATGAAAAGCGGAAGTTTGGAGATTTATTGAAATAAATGAAAGAGCAGAGATCTAAACCAAAAGAATACACAAATTTTTCAATAAAATAATATCAGAAAATTTCCCAACCCTAAAGAATGAAATGGAAGATCATATAGAAGAGGTTTACAGGACACTAAATGCATATAATTAGAATAGGCCCACACCAAGACATTATAATGAAAATGACTTACAGAATAAGGATAGAATTTTAAGGGCTGGGAGAAAAAAATATCAGATTACATATGGAGTGGGGGGAAATTGGGATCTCAGTTGACTTCAAGCCAGACATCAAAGATAAGAGGTCCTAGGATATTAATACCACATTCTTAGGGGAAAAAATGGTTTTCAATGAAGAATACTATATCCAGAAAAATTAAGCTTCAGATCAGATGATAAAATAAAAAACTTCCATGATAAACAAAAGTTAAAAAAAAATTCACAACTCAAAAGCCTGCACTACACAACATTCTCAACAAAATATTCCATGAAGATAAAATGAAAAACAAACCAAAAATCAGCAATGGGAGGAATTATGCTACAGGAGTAATCAATCAAAGGAGAAATTATTTCAACTTAAAAACCAGAAATAAACCCAAGTGGCTGAGAATACATATCATATCTAAATCATAACCTTGAATGTAAGCGGACTAAAGTCATCAATTAAAAGACATACACTGGCAGAATGGATTAAAAATGAAGATCAAACGATATGCTGTCTCCAAGAGATTCCCCTCATAAGCAAAGACATCCACAGAATAAAAGCAAAGGGATGAAAAAGAATATATCACTCACATGGATTTCCTACACAGGCAGGAGTTTCTGTCCTCATAACAGATAAAGTTAACTTCAAGCCAAAATTAATCAGGAGAGACTAAGAAATACATCTCATACTGTATAAACAAATAATACATCGGCAAGACATAACACTTGTTAATATTTATGGAGCATCTACACACACCAGACAAACCCTTCTCAATTTCAAGAATCAAATAGACCATAGCATAATAATACTGGGTAATTTTAGCAGATCTCTGTCACCAGAGGACATATCCTCCAAAGAATAATACAAAAAACTAAAAAGTACAATCAACAATTTAGATTTAAAAGAAATATATTGAGTATTTCATTCATTAACAAGTGATTACACTTTCTTCTTAGCAGCACATGGTTGCATCTCTAAAATAGACTGTATAGATTTTTTTTTCAATTTTTAGATTATCCATTTTATTTATAAGTGGTGCTTAACATTTTAAGCCAGTGCCTCACACATGCTAAACAAGCAATCTACCACTGAACAACAACCCCAACACCAAATAGAAGATATATTAGGCCACAAAAAATTCTATGAAAATTTAAAAAAAAATAGAGAATATACCCTGCATTCTAACAGATCATAATGGAAAAAACAATTAGAAATCAATGATAAAGTAAAACAAACAAACAAAACAAAACAAAACAAAAAACTGAAGCTAATCTAACATTGAACAACCAATGCAACCAATGCATAGCAGAAGAAATCAAGGGCAAAAAACAAGTTGATGACGATGTGGGGAAAAAGGCACACTCATGCATTGCTGGTGGGACTGCAAATTGGTGCAGCCAATACGGAATGCAGTATGGAGACTCCTTGGAAAACTGGGAATAGAACCAACATTTGACCAAGGTTTCCCACTCCTTGGTCTATATCCAAAGGACTTAAAAACAGCATACTACAGGGACACATCCATATCAATGTTTATAGCAGCAAGATTCACAATAACTACAGTGTGGAAATAACCTAGTTGTCTCTTGGTTGATGAATGGATAAAGAAAATGTAGTATATATACCAAATAAAATATTACTCAGCAATAAGAGAGAATAAAATCACAGCATTTGCAGATAAATGAATGGAGTTGGAGAATATAATGCTAAGTGAAGTTAGCCAATCCTAAAAAACAAATGCCAAATGTTTGCTCTAATTTAAGGATGCTAATTCATAATGCTGTGGTGGAGAAGAGGATTAGATGAAGTCTAGATAGGGCAAAGAAGAGGGAAGGAAAGGGAGGGGCGTAGGGGTAGGAAAAACAGTGAAATGAGATAGACATCATTACCCTGAGTACATCTATGGAGACATGAATGATGTGACTCTCCTTTGTGTACAACCAGAGATATGAAATTTTGAGCTCTATACGTGTTATAGAATTGTAATGCATTCTGCTGTCATATAATAAATTAAAACAAAAAAATGTTTTGAAAAAATAAATAAAATAGATAAACACAGCCACACTAATTAAGAGAAAGAGAACAAGTCAAAGTACTAAAATTTGTGATGAAAAAGGAAATATCATGATGGACACTACTGAAACACAGATGATAATCAGAAACTACTTTAAAAAATTATAATACAATAAAATATAAAATCTTGAAGAGGTCGACAAATTTTTAGAGACATATGACGGAACCAAACTGCATCAGGAGGACACATACAATTTAAACACATCAATTTCAACTAATAAGATAGAAGGTGCTATCAAAAAAAAAAAAAAAGCCAAGGACCAACTGGATTATCAGCCAACTTCTACAAACCAAGTGGATTCTAAGCCAAATTCTAGCAGAAATTCAAAGAATTAACACCAACAGTCCTCAAATCATTTCATGAAAACAAGAAAAAAGAGAACCGTCCAAACTCATCTCATGAAGCTCATCCTGATAACAAAAAGCAGACAAAGACACATAAAGGAAAGAAAACTGCAGACCAATATTCTTGATGAACATAGATGAAAAACTTCTCAATAAAATCATGGCAAATCACAAACAAAAACATAATTAAAATAAGTGGAGTTCACTCCAGGGATGCAAGACTCGTTCAACATAAGAAATCAATAAGTATAATACATCACAACAATAAAATTAAAGACGAGAATCGTAATTATCTCAATGCATAAAAAGCATTTCACAAAATATAGCATCAACATATGTTCAAAAAAAAGCTATGAATAGTAGTTATATACTTCAACATTATAAATGCTACATATGCTATACTCAAGGACAACATCATTCTAAATGGTGAAAAAAAATGAACGAATTCTCTTAAGAACTGGAACAAGACAAGGATGCCCTCTTTCACCACTTTTATTTAACATCATCCTTGAAAACCCTTCCAGAGAACTTAAGACAAAAGAAATAAATTAAATGGAAACTAACAGAAAAATAACTCAAACTATCACTATTTCCTAACAATACATTTCTATTTTCAAAAGACCCAAAAATTATCACTGGAAAATTTAGAACTAATAAATGAATTCAGCAAAGCATCAGGATACAGAATCAACACCCACAAATCAAACATGTTCTTGTACATCACTGATGAATCACCTGAAATAGAAACTAGAAAAACTCCCACATTCACAAGAACCCTCAAATTAAAAAAAAAAAAGCGTGTGTGTATATATATATTTGGGAATCAATCTAACAAAAGAGGTGAAAGACCCCTACAATTAAAACTACACAATACTAAAGAAAGAAATTGAAGAAGACCATGAAAGATGGAAAGATCTCCCATTCTCCCATGCTCTTGGAAAGGCAGAATTCACACAGCAATTAGAGAAATGCAAATCAAAACTACACTTAGACTTCATCTCACTTGTCAGAATAAAAACTATTAAGAGTACAAGCAACATGAATGTGGAAAAGATGTGGGGAGTAGGACTGCAAATTGGTGCAACCATTCTGGAATGCTATGTGGAGATTCCTTAAAATAAAACTTGTAATGAAAACACAATTTGACCCAGTTATCCCACTCCTCAGTTTATACTCAAAGAACTTAAAATCGGCATTCTATAGTGATATAGCCACATCAATGTATATAGGAGCTCAATTCACAACAGCTCAATTATGGAACCAACCTAGGTGCTCTTCAACAGATGAATGGATAAAAAAAATGGTACATTTACACAGTGAAATATTACTCAGCCAAAAATAAGAGTGATATATGGCTTTGCTGGTAAAAGGATACAACTAGGAAACATTATGCTAAGTGAAATAAGCCAATCCCAAAGAACCAAAGGCCAAATATTTTCTCTAGAATGCAAATGCTAATTAATTCACATTAAGTGGGTAGCTAGGGAAAAACAAAGGTACTTTAGATTAGATGGAGGAGACTGAAGAAAGAGGAGAGGGTAAAGGTGTAGAAAGGATAGTAGAATGAATCAGTTTTATCCTAGGTGAATATATGATTACATGACTGCTGTAATTCTACATCAGGTACAAACAGAAGGATGAGAAGTTATACTCCATTTATGTATGATGTGTCAAAATGTGTTTTACTCTCATATAAAACTAATTAGAAAAAAATTTAAGTTGAAAAAAGAATAAATAAAACTAGGTTTTAGATGTAAAAAAAATATTCTTCAAGTAAAGAAAATTAAATATTAATACTTATTTAGAAATCCCAAAGAAAGTTATCCTCACCCAGGAAGACCAGGTTTCTATAGTTCTCTAACATCACATCTCTGTATAAATTCTTCTGAGCAGGTTCCAGGCGTTCCCATTCCTCTTCAGAGAAATCAATGGTCACATCCCTGAATGTCACTAGTTCCTGAAATAAGATAAATAATAAATAAGGAGACTAATTAATAAATAAGGAAAGTAAAGAACACACTGACCATATGACTATTCATAGTTTTTGTTAATTGACCTATTCAGTTTTATTTCTATTTTATCAACTAGTGCATTACCTTTGGCCTTATGAAAATCTCCACAAATCTGCAATCCTAAACAACAAGCCCAATGAAAACATTCAAGGCCAATTCACACACAAAGCGCTTTCTTTAGATATTGTTTTGTAAAGTCCAATAAACTAGCCAATGAAGGTTCAGGAAGGATTACAATAGACTATATCTATAAAAAATACGACTTTTAAAAAATAAGTAAGCAAAAACAAAATGCCATTAGGTATTAGTTATTTATATGTATATGTGGGTTAAATTTAGCTTCTACCAAAGTGGAAACTATCGTGTCTACACATCCTGGGCTGTGCCTAAATTTTTCATATTATTTGCCTTGATCACAAATAGTACCTTCCCTTTTAAGAATTTATTGGCTTTTTAATAAATTGCAATGGCTGAAGCCAAAATTAAAAGTATATTAGCCATCAGTAAATTCAATGTCTCTCTCTTTTTTAAAATTTTTTACAAAGTGTTAGCCTTTCAGAAAAACATAAGAACACAGGGTAAAATTATTTCTTAGGGGACTTTTTATCCAATTAATCTGAAAATAGTCACTTCAAATTTTAATGCAGTAACAATCATACTGAAAAAAAATGCCTAGGCTTTTAATTAATAAATACCATTTTCAGTGCAAAAGATTTGCGGATGTATTTGTATTTCTTTCAAATTTTTAAAAAATCTCATTTCAGAACCAACACATAAGGTACAAAATAATTTTTATAGAACCTCATTTCCATGATCAACTTCATTCTTGTTTTCTGAAACACTTAAAATATTATCTGAGTATTCTTTTAGTTTAGAATTATAGTTTTTATTTAGCTTACACACTGAAAATATGAGAAGTGTCTAAAAATATCGACAATTGGTGCACAAAAAGGAGGCAGTATATTAAGTCATTCTTTCACACTATAAATAGAACTAAGGTTAGTAAACACCAAATTTTATGTAGATAAGTAAACTTCTTTCTGAAAGATGACAGATATCAAACTAGTTTTACAACAGTTTAATGAGGGGCTTAGCACATGTATTATAAGCTTGATATTTTTCTACAAAAACGTTTTGGGGGCTGGGGATGTGGCTCAAGCGGTAGCGGGCTAGCCTGGCATGCGTGCAGCCCAGGTTCGATCCTCAGCACCACATACAAACAAAGATGTTGTGTCCGCCAAAAACTTTAAAAATAAATAAATAAATAAATATTAAAAAATTCTCTCTCTCTCTCTCTCTCTCTCTCTTAAAAAAAACGTTCTGGCAGCATTTTGGGGAAATAATAAATTTACTGAGAATATAACAACATATTTCTAAAGGGGGCAAGAATACTGATTATTTTCCTTAGAAGTGAAATACTTGTCATAAAATGTATGACAGTCACTTTGTAGGATTGCGTACATTTTAAAAATACCGATTAATCTGCAGGGAATTCCACATAGGCACATTTAACAAAATTTTCTCCATCTGGTAAGGTTTTCGTATAGGTGACTCCTACCATTTCAATCATTTATTTTTTTTTTCTTTTTGCTTCTTTATTTTCTACTTCCTCTTCTATTCATCCTTCTCTCTTCCCATACTTGTATTTGCTGCTCCCTTTTCTCTCAAAGAAGAATCAGTTAGTTATCTGATAGTCCTCAAGGAGTTTTTTCCCCCTATTTGTTTTGCAGTTTTCTTTACCACTGTTTTGATACCAATGTTGTCAGTATTATAGGCAGTTATACCAACATTGATGACAGAATCCATTGCATGGAGTGTAACCTCTCCTGCATTGTGCTCATATTTGTATCTGACAATTTGTTTCAATAACAATGATATAAGAAACTTTTAGATAGAACTAAGGGGAACATTCATTGAAGACTGTGAGTTTAAAATATATTATGGGATTTATAAATGTTATTAAAATAACAAGCAGCAATGTCAATCCTTTTTTACCATTTCAAATTTACACATATTACTCTTAAGAGTTTTTCACATATTGATTCATAACAACCAAAATAATCTGATACTAATAATAGTATTTATCTTTTGACATTTTCTGAAATATACACTAAATGGTACAACCTGATATTTACCAAAGTTTATTTGTCCTGTAATTCTGGGGTGGGGTGGGGAGGATAAACATTAAGTTCAAAATAAATTAAAACAATTTTCAGAGCAAGAGTTATTATAAATAAGAAGAGTCATAGACACATGTTAAGAAGACATAATCAAGTCAATGAAATGATATTTATTTTATGGGCACATACATAAAATTGTAACTTTCTATACATAAAAATGGATAAATTTTCGTGTAAAATAATAAATTTGGTTTTTAAAAAAGTTATAAATCTATGGGGATTGAGCCTTTTTAAAAAGACACTATAGAGATAATCACATTTAAACATAAAAAATAAACAAGAATTACATTTGTGAGTCTTAAACATTCTTCAATTTCCCTTGTTATTTATAATTTGTTTTGAGATCTATTTCATAATTTTCAGACATTTCAATCATATGATTGTTGTTTCCTTAACTGAAAATTCATGGAACTTTTGTGGTTTGTGTCTGGGAACTGGAAGCAAAATAAAAAGAAAGCCTACAGGTTGCAGTCGGCTTCATGACCTCCAATAATAAAGCAAACACCTCTGGTAAACAACAGGCAGAACATTCATTGTCCAAAGAGAAGCACAAGAAAAAAGTTATAAAGAAGAGATTCTGTATCAAATATGATGGTTTCCAAAGGTTATTTAGAAAACTCTTGACAATGTTCTTAATGAAAACAAGAAAATGTTTATCTTTAAAGAGAAAATCTGAGAGGATTTGGGCCAAGCAAATAAGGCTAAATCTGTGCAAGAGCAGATTGGTATGAAGTCTCAATTGACATAGAAGGACATATCACTGCCGTGATACCAGTGGACAAGTCAAAATATAATAAAATGTAAAGCCCAATGTCAGTCTACTCATAAAAATACATTAGTTTTATGCAATTGTTTAGCTTTACACGTCTCTTATGCTCTAAAGTATATGTCAGTAGGCTTTCTTTAGCATTCTACAGAATGAATCTGCCCTAATTACTGCATCCTTTCAGGACTAGCTAAGTTGTTAGGGACAAAGGATGTGCATTTCTCAAGTACTTAAAGACAATGGAACATCTAAACATAAAGTAAACAAAGCATGTTTCATTTCTTCAGCAATGTTCAGTGAGCCCAAAACATCCCCAACTGAAGTCTAGATTACCAAGATTTTTTATGCTCCTTTTTCAAAAAGAAAACTTTTTCAATCTTGCAGGTCATGCAGTCATGGCATGAATTTACAAAAGTGTAAGAATGGAAGGGAGGCTCTCAATATAGGAGATATATATGGGTATATATATATATAATGTAGAGTTAAATTTGACTATTGTGAGAAGCAAAGGAAGTAAAGTAGGTAAATATGCTAAACACAGATGTGAAAGATAGAAAAGGAAGACTGCAAGTTCTAAACATGAAGTACTTTAGGAGGTAAATTTAATGCAGCCCCTGACCTGGGCCACACAACTGGAGACCAAGCATGTCTTCTTCCCTTGTCCTTCCCTAGGCTTCTTTCTCAGGAGTGACTGTCCACAATTCAAACCCACATCTTGAAAATAGGCCTCTAAAGAAACAAAACATGTGGTTCTTCAAAGACTTTATTTGTAGGTTCAAGATTAATTTAACTAGAAGTCATTTAGCTCAGACCTCCCTGATTCCAAATTTTATTCATATAGTTTTAAAGGAGAAAAGACCCCTTTAAATGAGTAAATACAGAAAAATATTCGCATTTAGTGAGTTTTGTTTTGTTTTTTATTAGGGGTTGAAACTAGTGTCAATTTACAGATTTACCACCAAAAAATATCCACTGAAATATTATTTATTTTTCATTTATTTGTTTGTTTAAAACAGGGACTCCATAACTAGTCAGGGCTGATTTTATATTTCAAAACATAAACAAACAAAAGCACCCATTTTCCCAGAAAATATATAATTTTGGTGCTATCTCCACAATAACAAATCATTAATATAAATCATATGTGAATAATTCTAGGATTTGCCAAGCCATATCTCACATGATTTAATGTTAGCTTAAAATGTCCAGATAATAATATATATGCCTGACTCTTACAAGGGTTCAAAGAAAAGGAACAGATTATTTAATATATCTGGAATTCACCGATTTAATTACAACACAATTTCAAAGAATCGAGTTTGTTTTTCTTCAGCCAAAATGGAAGAGAGATTTTTTTCTACTTACAGATAAACCATGGAATTTTATCTAAAATAAGCTACCAAATAGAGCACACATGAGAAACCACTAAAAACACTTTTGGGTAGAAGAAGGCCAAATAATATTCTTACATAATGTAAGGGCAAGTTATTTTCTAAAACTCAAGTTATATCCAGTTGTTTTGGTTATATCTGTTACATTTGAAGCTACAGAAACAAAATATACTTTACAGTTAGAGAAAAGTTAAACATGAAACAAGTTTTTTTGTTGTTGTTGTTTTGGTCCCTTGTTTGTTTTTGTCTCTTTGTCTTTGTCTTCCTTTGTATTTCATTTTGTCCTAAGGTGACAAGCCAAGGGAAACAGTACTGAATATAACACACCTGCAGGATCCAAGGGTATAGTCAAGAAAATCCTGGCATCTAAGACATTCTCCCATCCCTTTTTTTACTCACTGAAATACATTGTGGAACTTTTATATGCACAACTGTGTGTGGGTTTTGTTGGAACTTTGGGATAATCTTCTTGCATTCACAACTCAGAGAAAATTAAGATAGGAGAATACATTCTATCTGCAGTGAATTGAGGCTAAGGAAAGAATACATACAGAGCAGTTACATAAGTAGATTAATTGAATAATGGGAGATGCTTCTAAGCCACAGGA